AAATCAGATTCGGGCGCAACAACCCAAACTCGTAAAATTGAAAATGAAAATGAGAGACAATTATCCGTATGTAAATTGCTCCAAAGAAATTGAAAATGAAAGTTTGAAGCCAACTTTTTAATTTGGTTCATTTTGATGGTGCGAATTGAACAAAGAACTGCAAAGGGTTACACGGTCATAAAATATATTTTTCTTTATGCAAAATATTTGTAAAATAGCCATAAACGAGTTTTTCCATTATATAAAATGTATCTATAAACTGTATCTAATTAGCATATTAATGTGTTTTTGGGGCAACATAGAATGAACAAATAAGTGCAATAATGGGAGTAATAATTAGCAAGATTTTCCATAATAATATCTCATATTTAATAGGAATATTGATAGATAATTTTTTCTCTATTTATTTGTTGTGTCTCCCAAATTGTGTAATAAACATGCTTTAAGTCCTGGTGTCCTCTACAGTGAACATGTATGAAATTGATGCCCTGTTTCATAACAGAAGGTCACATTTTGATTTGAAACCCCATAACATTTTCCTGAGATGTTTATTTATGACAAACAATTTGTCAATTAATCAGATTTAAATGATAATTACAAAATATGATCATATTTCCATCTAAAATTAGATCACTAAATTAATGTCAGCCATTTTTAAAGACCAAGGAGAGGGAGTGGCCATGGTGAAACATCCAATCATTTGGTATCTCTGAAAAGCCCTGAATGTGCTCTGTACAGGACATTAAAACTGTGACATGTAAGAGAAATCGCTGAAACATAATGTCCTCTACACTGGACAAAACTCCATAGCTGGTAGTCAGGAGGATATTCAAGTTAAATAATTTTGATATATGTATGTATTATTCCAGTGAAATTAATAATAATAATTTTACTTTATTTGTACAGCTTTTTATTATTTTGGGAAAATTTCACATACATTAGAAGAAATGGTCAGGATCCAAGCCAAATTTCATTAATTTTCTTCAGGAGACTAAGGACTACTGCACCAGTTTGGAGAACATTGTTAATAAAAAAGCAAAGAAGACTTGTAATATTTTTCACGAATATAGAGTTTTTGATTAATTAATCAATGGTTTGTTTTTCACAAATATACAATTTTTGATTAATGAATCAATGGTTTGTACACTCTGGCATGTTTTATGTACATTTTTGTAAACTGTTGTATATTTTGTTCTGGTCAAAAAAAAATAAAAAAAATAAAAAAAAATAAAATGTGACGCATCTGACGCCATCCGCGCGCTCCTGTAATCCGGCAGGATTTAGGACCCGGCGGGATTCTATCCGGCACATCCAGCCAGCAAGGCTAACGACCATCAGAATGAAAATGCCGTCGTCTTTATCCAGCATTGCACTGGTTTCTTTTATACTGTTTTTTCTTGCGTCACATTTCGGAAAGGTGTTAGCTGATGACAAAGAACGAGGTAAAAATATCTATAAATTTAGACATTTGAGCAAAATAATCCCTATCAACGCTAGCTGTGCTAGACCACCGGTTTCTGACCCGAAACGCGGATCTAAAGTAACACCCGATTGACCGAAATTACTCAGTACTGTCTCAGTGAGGCTCGTAAAGGTGTTATAGTTGGATTCTTTACAGTTTCTAAGGCTTTCAGAGTGGTCTTTATCATGATGATATTCAGTTGTCCTGGTGTTCTATGTGGCTGCTAGGAGGTTGCTTGCAAGTCAAAAAGAACCTAAAAATCTATAGATCTTTCCACCAATTTTAATGTCCACTAGGCTTATAATATAGCAAGGTTAAGTTATGACAATAAACTAAATCCGGTAAGGAAGCGTACATGTAATCGTATCATTTCATGCGCTTGGATTTGTATTAAGTATGTTTCCGTCTGTTTATTTTGGTATGTCTTTCTGTCCTGTAAAGCATGTGAGGTGGTGTGTCTGTTTTGGCTTTTAACTGACATTCTTGCTTTTTTAGATCAGGTTTAACCTGTTTTTTCAAAGGTTTGGAATGAATTATGGGTTAGGGTAGGACACTCACAGGAGAGAGTTTGAGTTCACACATGTCTAGGACAGAGGACAATTAAGTCCTCTAAGGTGATGTATTTAATATTCAAATATTTATTTCATGAGTGCCGGACAGGTGGGGAATGACTCCCAAGTATCCAGGTGCATTATACTATGAGATGATTATTTCTATGGAGGCCCCAAAATCCACACCTACAAATGTATGAATGCCATTGCATTACATAATAAAAAATAAGTGTAATTTGCTTTAAGAAAGCACAAGCACACAAATTAACTATATATATTTTTTAATAATAAGTTTATATTTTATACATTTTAAGAGGATTAAAGGGCTATTTCACTCAAAAATTAAAATTCACCCTCATGTTGTTCCAAATCCATATGACTTTCATACGTCCGTGAAGGGAAATGTTAGTTAGAGATTCAGTTACTGTTTACTTGCACTGTATGAAGAGAATTTGAAAAAAGAAAGAAAGAAATATGGGTTTGGAACAACATGTTAGTAAAAAAATGTAATTTGTTTTTACAATTTTTAGTTAGTTGTTAACAATATGATTATGCATTATTATTATAAAATCATTATATATACAGGGATAGAACTTCAGTAATATTACAGAAATATTAGGTCTGAGGAACGTATTAAAATAATTTGAGTGGAAAATATGGGGTTAATAAAAAATAAATAAAAATAAAAACTCTTGTAGTTTTTACAAATACAATATTTGTGACTCTGTGAACTCAAACCAAAACAAATCAATCACAACAGATCATTTTTCAACAGAAATTTAGACAGTTTTCTGTTCCTGAGATCAGAGGCGTCATGCTCATTAAAACCGAGGGGACACGTTGTTGCTTATGTGAATATCATAAAAAATAACGCTGGGATGTAAGTAACCTTTTTTAATTTAACATTTAAAAAAATCAAAAACTTAAAATCTAGTGTTTGATCATGTCTAAATATACATTAAAAATTAAAAACCTAAAAAAATAAGTAAGCAATTATGACCGGCAATACTCTTTTTAGCAACTAGAGTAGACCTAACTACATGTAGTAGGCTACACTCTAAAAAATGCTGGGTTAAATACAACCCAGTGCTGGGTTAAATAGGGACAAACCCAGCAATTGGGCTGTTTTGACCCAGCGGTTTGGTTAAATGTTTAACCCAACCTTCTGGGTAGTAACCCAACCGCTGGGTCAAAACAACCCAATTGCTGGGTTTGTCCCTATTTTACCCAGCACTGGGTTGTATTTAACCCAGCATTTTTTAGAGTGTATCGTTAAAAATGTATTTCCCTATAGAGAAAACGAATGGCATTTTTTAACTTCTTGAATCCGACTGTTGCATTCTATAGAATAGGAACGCAATAGTTCTGACGTAACACATTTTGCGACAACATTTCAGAATATTTCGCAAAAATGTTGTCATCACAATATAGTGCATTATTTACATCATAAATACATCATAAAGAATGCAGTCTATTGACTTGATCTGTGTCTGAAATGACTAGTTTTCACTCGCTTTGCTTCAAATAGCAAACTTTCCAGTGGCAATGCAAAACAGGATTGACTGTGTTTACAGTCCATTCTAGAGATGAATTTGAAAAACAAATGAGATTTTCTGTGCATTGTGAACAAAACGAGTGACATGTAACTTGACCACATTTTTCTTCCGTGTGCAGTTGTGGCTAGCATGAAGGAAGCTCAAGAGAAGCTGACTGGTGATGCCTTCAGGACCGCTCACATCGGGGATGAACTCTAAGAAGAAGGGAAGAAGCGGCATGGAAAGATCTCAGCCAGTACACTGCATCACCTTGCTGGGCACATTAGAGCCATCCATCACCAACCTCAACTCCTGTCATTTAATTTGATCTACTATAGCACAAGACAAGCTTCAAAAATGAAGGAATTTATAATGCATTTGCGGATTACAAGGTATCGCAGCTTGCGGTAGATTGGCTTATTACTTTGAGAACCAAAGCATACTTACTTTCCATGTCACATAATGGGTGCTAAAAGTTGTTGTTTTTTTCATCTTGCATTTCAGAAGATCAAAGCTGACGTGTCCATATTGATTATTCATGTTGAAAACATTTGACCCTCTTGACTGCATTCTTAAGGCACTCCACATTTTTTCTGACTAAGAAACACGCCAGTAAGGCATTTCTCATGTGCTTCCAAGCCATATCTTGCAAGCTGTGGTAAAACTGATCCAGTTACACAGTCACTTATACGAAGAGCCTTATAATCCCTAAACTGTATCCACCTAAAAACTGTATGTTTTCATGAGCGTACCAGTTCTATTATGTTAACGTTTTTAGAAATGCTAATAGTATCTCTTAAACTTGCCAAGTTCTAGTCCTCAATATGTGGAGTCACCTTTAATTTTAAATATAGATTTTTACTATTGACAGTACCTGTAATTTAAGGCCTATAATGTGAGCTGGCACTATTTTCTTTTCTTTTTTCTTTCTTCCTTTTTTTGGGGGATTGAGAGGGAATTGTCTGTCTGCACCCTACTGTATTTTTTACCAATATGTAAAATGAGGCTACAAATAAAGTTGATATAAAATATTGGAATATAGTTATTTTTCAGTGTTCGCTTACAGAGTAGAGCGACCAATACTTAAATCTATTATGGTATTTGCTGCATTGTTAAAACAGGATTTGTGCATTAATAGAATTTTTTACAAAATTAAGTTGATGACCCATCAGTAAAGAGACACACACACACACACAAACAAAACAACAACAAAATAATAAAATGTGTATCATAAAATTATTCCTAAACTACCATTCAAAGGATTGGGGTCAGTAAGATGTTTTTATTATTTTTAAATAATACTTTTATTCATCAAGGATGCATTAAATTTACCATAAGTGACAGTAAAGACATGTATAATGTCACAAGACTTCTATTTTAAATGCAGCCTTGGTGAGCTTAAGAGACCTTTAACAAAAAGGAAGATCAAAGTTGGCACACCACAGCTCCAAAAGTTGAAAAATATTTATGTTCTCACCACAGGTGACGTTTCGAGCCTAAAAGCTCTTCATCAGACGATTAGGCTCGAAACGTCACCTGTGGTGAGAACATAAACATTTTTCTAATTTTGGAGCTGTGGTGTGCCAACTTATGCAACTTTTTGTGGTTGAGCACCCACATTGAGCTCTTGGCCTGTTGGATGTGTGCACTTCAGGTGTAATTCTTTGTAAAATAACTTTAATAAATAAATTTATTTTCAGTAGTGTAAATGCATTAAAGTTGCAAAAACGTGCAAGATTTTTTATTTATTTAGATTAAAGTTGTCCAAAGCCCCACTTTTCCTGTAGTGTTTCCAAACCTTAGGAGGAAAATGCGTCTCAAAACTATCATTGTTTTATTGGTATTAAAGGGGTCATATGATGCTGCTTTTTAGAACATTATTTTGTGTATTTGATGTAATGAAATGTTTATGCGGTTTAAAGTAAAAAAAAAAACATTTTCCACATACTGTACATTATTGTTTCTCCTCTATGCCCCGCCTTTTTGAAACGCATCTATTTTTACAAAGCTCATCGGTCTGAAAAGCGAGGTGTGCTCTGATTGGCATTATGGTGAGGGGCGTAATATTTCCGACACACGCTTGAGGTATTCGGCCAATCACAACGCACTGGATATCCAGTGCGTTGTGATTGGCCGAATACCCAAGCGTGTGTCGGAAATATTACGCCCCTCACCATAATGTTGATGCCCTGTCCCGGCCAGAGCAACGAAACAAAAACATGAAAACCCATTACAAACGAGGCATTTGTTGCATCCAGTGGGGACATAATTACTGATTATAATGAGTTATACTGTCTTTTTACGCGTTGTGTTGCATCAAGGAAACATTTAAATCGCATCATATGACCCCTTTAATTAAATGATAACTAGTAACCACTGTTATATTTAAATACTACCATATTATGGAGCTGTTTTCCTTGATAGGGCTATTACACAAAGCACAACCTCATGATTGGTGCTACAGCAGGGGGCAGTCATTATCCAGATAGTCCTTCTGTTCCACTGTGAACTAGAAAATAGAAACTACTCTCCTATTGGTGGCGTTTGCAGAAAGTCAAACCCCAGTACAAAAACACCCACAATAATGAGCATGATTCAGGGTTTTAAATAAGAATCAAATGCCATATTGCGGCTTGAAGCAATCTTACCTGATGTTGATAAGTTAAAAATAATACAGTGAATGATCATATTCACAAAGCAATTTAGTGCATTCTTTTTCACCTTTAATAAATGGAAGAAAGAAAAAAAACAGGCAAAGACAAAACCTGTGATTTGAGCACAATAGAAATTGTTCATACAAAATTAAATCGACAACACAAAAGTGAAGGCACACAAAAACATACATCTATCATACAAAGTGATCCCTTATGGATTGTATTTTACAATAAAACTAATAGAAATAAAATCAGCCATGTGATATTATCAACTCATTTGTGATATTTCTTAAATTAACTTTGTCTGGTTGGCACTATTTTTAATGTTACATGACAACTTAATGTTTTTATGTTCATGTGTATATTTTGAATGGACTAAAATGTGACAATCAGCTACTGAAGCTGCAATTTTCCAAAAGTTTCATCACTTTATTAAATAAATTACAAAGTCTAAAATAGCTCTAAAAAACACAATTGATGTATATCCATAATTCTATACAAAATTCTCTCTCTATGCAAAAGAGTGTTTCAAACATCACCCTTTCCCTTGGCTTTTTTTTTTTTTTTATATCATAAACTCCCAGCTTCACCTACAAATGCTAAACCACAGAAATAAATTCTCTAGATAAATTCTCCTCATCCTGAGAGGTCAAAACCTGGTGCCTAGCTGCTGTTGAAGCTCTTTGAAAGGCTTGAGAATGTATAATGTGAAGAAAAATACAGTGGTGATATTTACTATTATTTTTTGTTTATTATTTATTTGTAAAAAATATTTCTTACCATCATATCAATTTAAATGTTCAGCATGCTAGCTATAAAGAGCATGACTCTGAACAGGATGATCTTGATTTCAGCTAAGTTTTTTTAATGGTTGGTGTGGTGTGTGTGTGTGTGTGTGTGTGTGTGTGTGTGTGTGCTCGTCCAGAGCCATGGCAAACTCATCAGGGTTCTTCTTTTCTCTGCCCACCTCGACCATCGTGGCAGCTGTGCAGAAGTGAGAAGGAGGATAAAGTCATCTCGTTTTGCAATACTCAGAGCCTGACACGTTAGTAATATTTGTTAATGCAACAAACCATTGCAAAAGTCGCTTCGGCACCCAGATTTTGGTACTGTGTGGTTATCCAACAGTACCAAAATTATTTAATATACAGTTGTGTTGTATATTAAATAAACTTTTTGTTTTGCATATATAATAAGCAATGTAAAACAAATATGTAGTAAAATGTACAATACCATTCAAAACTCCTATTTTTAAAGAAATGAATGCTTACTCAGTAAGGATGCATTAAATTGATCAAAAGTGGCAGTAAAGCCTTACAGTGTTTAAGAAGATTTCCATTTCAATTAAATGCTGTTCTTTTGAACCTTCTCTGTCATTCATCAAAGATTATAAAATAATTTTTCACAATATTACTGTTTTTTTCTTGCATTTTGATTAAATAAATTCTGCCTTGATGAGCATAAGAGACTTTTTAAAAAAACTTTAACAATTTTTGCTGACCCCAAACTTTTGAATGGTACTGTATTTTGTTAAAACACGCTTTCATAATAAATAATAATAAACATTTATTTCTATAGCACTCTTCATACAAGATATGCAGCTCAGTGTGCTTCACAACATATAATGGAGTCATAAAAAGAAACATTGACAAATACAATTTCACACAATATCAATATAAATAATACTCAAAAACAACTTTAAGAAGTTCACAAGGTAAACTGTTCATGATAAGATATCATCCTTACATGACATTCTCATGACATACATGAAATCTCACCTAATTCAGTGTCTCGAATGCCCATGTAACTCTCAAGAAGGTCATCCACTTTCTTCACTGCCTTCTCTTCAAACTCTGTGGGCTGTGGAGTAAAAGAAAAGCATTAGATGTACTCTTTAAGTGAATGTCATGACTCTTAATACTGTCAGTGGCCATGTTGCTGATGTTATTGTATATGGAAGGTTGTTTCCACCATGGAATATGGAATGAAAGATCATTTCTGATCATTTCTCTGAGTTTTTGCTGGACAATTCTGAATTAATTTTCTGAATTCTTCATTTACATCTCGCAGTTCAGTTTTTGTCCTGTCATAGATATTTTTTAAAACGGCAATGATTATTATTTTTTTTTTTTCACAATTCTGACTTTTTTTCCTCACAATTCTGTTTATATCTCTGTGTTTAATGTAAGATATAAACTCAGAATTGCAACATTGAGAGAACACAGTTACCATCTCCTCGACTGTTGCAGGACCCTTGGAGCGTAATCTGAGGGTTTCTCTGCCTGTGCCTATCTTGCCATCTCCCGAGGATTTGCCTCCGCCTCCTCTTGACCTTGGTTCAAGCATCTCTGCCAAGCGAAAGAACAGTTTAAAACATTAAATCTTTATTTATCAACACGATAACATTTAATAGATCACATGATGCATAGAAATAGAGTGCAACAGTAACAGTTCTAGTATTTATTAATTTTTTTTTTTTCCATCTGCATTTCAAAAAATTTGTCTTGAATCACAAAAGCTCGGATATCAATCAAATCATTAAAAACTTGGATATGAGGCAAAAACGACAGTGTATTTAATGTATTGCATAAGGCAATTAGCTACTAATCAAGTAAGGAAATTTTAAGTATAAAACTTCAAATACTTAAAAGTAGTCTCGATTACGTAAATTGCAAGTTTTGGTTACACTTTATTTTAAGGTGTCCTTGTTACAGTGTAATTATGCATTTAAGTACGGAGTAATATTAACTACATGTACTTACTATATGTTTAGGGTTAGGTTTAGGGTTACTTGCATGTAATTATGCATAATTAATTGTTATAATAGTAAGTACATGTAACGTGTAACAAGGACACCTTAAAATAAAGCGTTAGCCAAGTTTTTTCCCAGCTCTTTTGCTGCAGTTTTCATTGCCACTTCTCTGATTGGTGGAGCTCTCTTGAGGATTATGGGAAGTGTAGTTCTACATTGGGAATTCAGCAATTAAACATTTTTCTTTCAAAATGAAATTAAAATCAACAACACATGGTTTCTTTAGAAGCAAATACCATCATGTATCAATGTTAGAGCTCATGAGCAGTCTGCCGTAAATTATGTATACTTTATTGTAAAAAAATCTATTTCTGTATTGAGAATATAAATGAGATTTTCACTTCAGAAACTGTTGCACTCTACTGTCTAGATTTTATTATTATTATAATTTTTTTTACATACATCAGTCACATACAACATTCAAAACCAAGAATATCTAGAAAAAATTAGTACTTAAACAAGAATGAATGACAAACCGAAGGCTTTCATGGGCTCCACAAGTTTGATGGTGAAGGACTGATCCTTGGGCAGCTCCTTCAGCATTCGGGCCACCTCATAGTGCCGCATTCCGACGATGTTCTTTCCGTTAATGCATTCGAGATGATCTCCCACACAGATCACCTTTACCCCATCCATCACACTGCCCTCTTTGATACGCTGCCAAAAAAACACAGGCACGCTTCATATTTAATAACTTTTGTTAACATGTTAAAATAGCATCTGTGCAAAAGTATTTTTGGTGTACTTGTACTTTAACCATTACCTGGGCTTAAAATAATACGTATAGAGAATTCAAAAATGAATCTAAAACACAACTAACACGTCGCTTTAAAGATACAAATCCAGCATTCAGAGTACTACAACGTGTGATCTTACAATCACAGGGTGGCGTTCTTCTAACACCACTTAAATTAAATGATTAACTTCTCTCAATCAAAGCCTGGACAAACATACCCGAAAGCAGACAAATGTTTTTATTTGTGCAGAGGGATACCTTACAACTTATAGAAAGTCATAAAATACTCTCGCACCACTAAATTTTACTTTCAAAAACATGCAAATCATTATCTGTACATGGGCAGTGCTAGTACTACAAGCTATGTGCACTACACTTAGAAAACTAATTATTACACTGCTAAAGGGGCGGCATTCCAAAGTAACACCCTGTTCTAACGAAAGCCTCATTTAAGAGTCTACCTTTATGAAGGCGTATCCAGCTCCATTGTCTGTGATGGTGAGCCCAAGTGCCTCCTCAGCTTTGTACACCTCCACCTCCTTTTTGAGGCCTTTTATGTGAGCGAAGATGAAGTCCTCCAGTCCTATCTGCCCTCCCAGCAGCTTTTCCATATCAATTTTGTGGGTGTTGAGTGTGCAAAATAGGATCTGTTATAATACATAGAGAGGAGAGTTTCAACATGGAGATGGCATTTTAAAGTCAGAGAACAACGAGAACGTTGAGGATTTATGCAAATGTACCAAATTTAGTTTAGTAGCTGATCCCACAGTCAGATATATAAAATGTTCATTTGTTGTATTAGAAAATGTTTAAAGGGATCATGAAATGGAGAATCAAAACGTTCTTGATATTCACACATATACAAGGTTGCTCTACAATAAAAACACACTGCATGTTTCAAAACTCAAAACTAACTCCCCAGTTTAAGGGTACGCTTGCATGACAACAACGTAATAAAAAGCTTTTGAGTTTTTACGTTTTAAAAAAAAATGTGCGTACAGATGAAACCATTGTCAAAATGATCCTAGTTCACACGAATCCGTGAAAACGACTCACGATTTTCCTCAACACGCCCATTATCGTGCGTCATTGTCATATGTAATCATATCGAGGTGTGTTTTGAACAACTTATGTCTGTCCATTAATCACAAGAGCAATACTGCTGTTAGGTAAAGAAAGACCTTTTTTTTAGTGTAAAAACTTTACATAATCTAAACATTTGAAACTGCATTTAATGACTATCATAACCTGTGATCTTGTGCTCATGTACATATGCTCATGTACTTCTCAAAAACCGTAACTTCACAGAAATAAAAATCTGCACTGAGGTATTAAACAAAGCTTTGTTCACTTGCAAAGGCACTGAAATATAGCTTTTCCTCCCACCTCATGTTATTTCCATCACAAAATGTTTGTGAGCAAAGGTTTGCTTGAAAATGCAAAAGCATTGAAATATTATTTTATTATATTATTCCCATCTCTTTTTTTACCATCATCATCATCATCATCATCTCATCATGAGATGTAGAGAAAATTATATTTAAATGCTTTGGTGTTCCCTTGCAATTCTGCGCTCCCCAGAGAAACTTTGGGTAATACTTTAAGGCCTATTTTGATAGACATTTTACTAAATATAAGTAAAGTACTCTAAAGTACCAGTCATTAGAGTTTTAGCAGACTGTCTGCTTAGTGTCTGTTAACTCTTTATTTTGATGGTCCCAAACACATTCTACTGACTTTGCAACTTTGCAGTACGTCATCTTATTCTACTATAACCTAACAGTCAACTAATACTCTAAGCGTTAGTTGACATGTAGTTGCAAGCTATTTATACTTAGTACTGTAGAATGTCTAAAGTGGATTATCGAAATAGTGTAACCAAACTCTGCATTCACTCAAAAACATTTGCGTTCTCTTGAAAAACTTTCCAGAGAACTTCTCCAGAAAAACTGCCTTTGTTCGCGAAAGATCTGCATTTTCTTACTAAAGTGTTGCATTCCCCTGAAACTTTGCATTTGCTCACAGAAGCATTACAATACAGTTTTTCCTCCTACCTCAAAAGTATTTTTTAAGAGAGAATGCAAAATGTTTGCAAGAACACAAAGTTTCTCATGGGAATGTATTAATTCATTCTCAAAAATGTATTTTTCTCCCTGGTCATTTTTGTTGTGGTGTTTGTTTGTTTTTTGCTCATGTCCTTTAAGGCCTCAATGTCCAACATATATATTACCTTTCAGCATTGGAGATTCTAGGATTTTCATTTTAGGGGGACTCAGCCCCCAGTGAGGGTACAATAATAATAATAGCCTAATAATAAAAAAATATATATAAATAAGATAAAAAATATTTGATTAATAGGGGTCGTATACTAAACTTATTGCAGTATTCCACTGTATTGCATAGATAGGTATAACATTCGAGTACTGAATAAGCCAAATTCAAGTCTTCATGATCTCACACACACACAACTGTTTACTGTACAAACACAAAATTTTACTGTTTGCATTTCTAGTACAACCCTCTTTTCCTTTGCTCAAGTATGCAAACCTCTTTGCCACATGCACTGGAA